TTTTTTTTTTTTTTTTTTTTTGTGTAATTAAACAAAATGTTGAGGTTTCATAGGCAATTAACCCTTTGTATGATAACGTTTTTGTTGGGTAATTACATACGCAAACACAAATCTAACCAAATTTATTATACAACAGTTTTATATAAACCTTTAACAACGTGCTCCGGTTATTTAGAAATCAACGACAATTTATTCTGTTTTTAATAGGCCCAAGAACGTTACTTACCGAAAACATTTGCCATTAAACCTAACCGAAATTCACATGTTTTTGTTTCATCTATTGAAAAATGCTACAGTCACGTTATGGAACCATTTTGTCAGAATTCGTACTCGCTAAATCGTCATGTAACCGTCCTGGATAAATCTAACGGTTAGAAATCCCGACAGAATAGTACCATAACGAGACCGTAGAATCTCCCTCATTTATTATTTTTAACAGTGCTAAGATCGTTACTCGTCGAAACAAAATTGCAATTAAACTGGACAGAATGGTTAGAAAAAAATAAAAATAAAAAAATACATGTTATAAGACGATGGAGGGCATACCCTTCTTAGAAGGTGAGGTGAGTTGATGAGGCACTTAGCACTCCACAGAGGATCATTGAGGTCAGCCCCGTGCCTTTCGAGCTCCGTCGCGAGTCCCCCGTCGATGACGGCGGCGCCGCCGCACTGGCGGAGGAAGTCCGTCATCAAAGAGGAAGAAGGATATTGTACAACCATTTTCTTTTTGTTTTCTGAAATCAGCTAGTTCGAGTATTATCTTTGATTTTAATATAGTTTTGCGCGGGAATGGTGGTGGTGAGGCGGTGGCGCGTGGGATTATTTTTTTTACTGTTTCATCAAATCGATATAGTTTTTTAATTTGGTGTTTGAAGAAGAAGAAAAAAGTTGGCTAGAAAGAGTAGGAAAATGAACGTCCAACTCCATTAATTGCCACATTTTATATAGCCAATTTGATTTTGGGCAGTATTTGATGTGTCACGCTATTGCTATATCCCTAGAGTTACACCTGTCGATTTGATTTTTTTTTTTTTTTTTTTTGTTTTTTAGTATAGGAAAAGATCCCATCCCATGAAAGTTTGGGCAAAAACATTATATAATATGTTATTAAAACAATACTATATATACTAAATTAATCTTCTGTTTAATATTTTAAACTAATGCGGTACCCGTGCGATGTACGAGCTAGTTTTATTATGGTAAATATTTAAATTGGATGAATGAAAAAAAACGTAAAACGCATATATTAGAATAAAATAAAATATAACTTATATATTAATAAACGCATTCTTGTATACAACATTATTTGTTTGCCCTTTTGTTAAATCGTCTACCGCCACAAATTAAAATTTTTAAAAACACTTAAGATTCGTAGCGCGTGAAACATGCATAAAGCTGGCGGTGAAGATTACATATATTAGGATTCTGGACATGCTTAAATAAATAATTAAATTATTTAGCAGGATATATCTTATATGATTTATACATGTTTTATGAAGATTGCATAGCAAAACATAACGGATATCGTAAAACGTCTTTCTTTATAATCTACAGTTAATTCGAATTTTATATTGCCAATATATATATATATATATATATATAAATAATAGTAGTTTAATAGGAAGTTCATTTATATGAGAATATGTGATTGTATTTTTTCTAATTGAAAATTTTAATTCAACCTAATTTTTAGTTCAGCCAGATTTTTCGAATAAAGAATGAGAAAGAATTTTGATTTTTAGAAAATCGTAAACACTACTGAAATCTATCAAAACTAAATCTACAATACCCATCATTTTAGGGTGCATTTAAGGTTAATCTTGGGGTTAATAAATTAAAAAAAATTAAAAAAAAACTACTGACATGCAATAAATGTGGGTCGATTTTACGGCAACTAAATGATAAGGGATTTAAAAATTAAAATTTTATATTCGAAATGAGACCTAATTATTTTCAATTAGATTTTTTGAATAAAAAATGAGTACGGATTTTGATTTCTATTTAAATGAGAATGGATTTTGATATCTGAAATTTTCAAAAAAATACATCAACAAAACCCATCAATTTAGGGTGCATTTATGGATGACTGATTTTTTGGGTTAAGATTAAAAGAAAATTAAAAAACGGTTAAAATTGGAATGCGTTAAATGTTAGTTGATTTTTATGTTAATATTTTTTGTAAATAGGTTGTCTTTTTATATATTTATAGATTTGAAGATACTTACAATTTTCCTAAACTATTTTGAAAAAAAAACATGTCTAAAAATATTTAAACTTAATATATATATATATATATGTGTGTGTGTGTGTGTGTGTATGTGTGCGTATATGTATATATAGTTATAATATGACATGATAAAATATTATATAAAAGTATCTAAAATTTTATAAGCCTAAATAAAGACATTATAAATCTTTTGAGAGAAAATTTACCTAGTATATATAAAATAAATATTGACATGATCCCAAATTATGACGGTACTTCTCAAAATTTGAGTACATAATATTTCAAAATTATTACTTTTTTTATAAGTTTGTTACCGTTAAAAAGAAAATTTTATACACATAATAATTCCACGATTTATGTAGATTTATTAAGTTTACAAATACAGCTCAGAGATTAATGTAAACTGTAACAAATATATATAACTAATAATCAGATAAAAATTGAAGACAATATTCAATTCTACATTTCTTCTTATAACTTTCTATTGTATGTAGTTTGGGATAGAAATATGTGATAAATATACTAAAGACCTCTAAAATATTATATCACATATATAAAAAGTATATACAACATTCTATATTACTCTTGAAAAATGTTTGAAGTCACTCTCTACACTACTGAAAACATGTCAAAAAAATACTTAAGTTTAACCTCATACATGTTTATATATATATGTACATATAGAGCTCCTTAGTCTTTGTCTAATGTTTAAAATATCTAAAATATTATAAGGGTTAATAATTGTTAAAAAATATTAGTATTTAGATGAGCGAAAATTATATTTTAAAAAAAAATTATCGAATGATTTATATTTGCAATTAGACAATAATTAACTTGTTTTAAGAAAAAGAAATTCTGTTACGATAGTTTTTTAGAAAAAATATGTTAGAATAGATAGATAAGAGATGAGATTTTTAAAATTTATAGGGATATATATAATAGGTAGGGGTAGGACCGGTCCGGTTATTATCCAAAATTGGAAGAACCGAAAATCGAAGCATATGTAAATTTTCAGTTCGGTTACTCTATACTTTTTTTTAGGGACCGAAAAAGAACCGAACCGAACATTTTCGGTTCGGTTCCTCCGGTTCTTTGGTTAACCGAACACAGTGATAAAACCGATATTGACCGGTTATAAACCGGTTATTGTTCTATAAACCGGTTATTTTTGAACTATTATGAACAAGTCTCATAAATCATAATATATCAATACAAATTACAAAATACAAATTAGCACCATGACATGATTCAACTTACAAGACTTAATACAAATTATCATCATGATTCATGAACCACATTACCACATCATTCATCAAATCCAACATACACATTAGTTATTACAAAGCCAAGTTGCCAAAGTCCACAATCTATATCAATAATCCATAATCCACAATTCACTTCAGTCCACAGTCACGATTCACTTGAGTCCACACTTCACAGTTCCAAACAGCCACAACAAATCATAATAACATATCAGTTACTGAGTTACATAATCCAATGTTCAAACTTCAAATTCAAACTTCCAAATCAAAGCTCAAAGCCAAAGCTGACATTCAAAACTCAAAAGTTAAATGGCAGATTACATTTCAAATTTTCTTTTTGGAAGAAGTTCCAGCATCAGAGCCTTTGGAGGCTTTTGGAGCTTTATTTTTCTTCTCAATCAACTCCATTTCCTTTTGTTTCTCTAACTTCTCTCTATGCTCTCTCTTCTCTTGGTCCAATTCTGTCAAAACAGAAAGAAAAATCAAAAAAGAAATAGGGGATAATCAGTAACACTAATCAAATGGTTGCACACATTACACATGTCCAATATAACTCACCTTGTTCAGTTTTTTCAAACCATTCAATTTCATCTGGGGTAGGAGTGTATGCAAGGGTTGTGATGGAATCAGACTTAAGCCAACTTTGAAGAAAGATCAGTGCTTCCACTGATCTAGGAGTTAATGAACTCCTATGAGGATCAATAACTCTTTTCCTAGTGCTAAAACTTGACTCAGAAGCAACAGTACTGACTTGAATGGCTAGGACATCTCTAGCAAGTGCTTGCAAATTAGGATACTTACCTCCCATTAGCTTCCACCATGACAAAATATTAAAATCAACTCCTGAACCTGGCTTCTCAATTGGATCAAGTAGGTATCTGTCTACCTCATGAGCAACCACAACAGCATCAACATCTTCAAGGTCTTTTTTCCAATCTTCCATCATTTTTGCTTTCTTTCCTGTCAGCTTGTTTGAAGAACAACTACAATATAAAATAACAAAAGTAAATGAAAACAGAAACAAGATGAACATGAACTTATGAAATAACTAACTAACTATGAAATAAAAACAGAAAAGTAAACTCTTTCAAAAAAAAAATGTACCTGCGTCCACTCCCAGTTTCATCACCATCTGCCTTTTTTGTGCTAGAACTTTGAACCCCATTTATTGAAGCATACAAGTAAGTGAGAGTAACAATCAAGTCTTTCAAAGTTTCAGTCCTTACTTTTACAGTAAAGGCATCATAATTCAGCATCCTCTCAAGAACCCTAGTGAAATATCTTAGCTTGAATCTAGGGTCTAACACCAAAGCAACAAGCAGGAGCTGATTCACATCATCTAGTGAATCAAAGTACTTGTTGTACTTGCTCCTCATTTAGACTGACATGTTGAACAATGTTTTCTCATAATCTGTGCTATGGGTTGTGATTGGTGCATCAAAAATCTCTTCAATCTCACATTTAATTGAAACAATATCATGAAATGCCTTGTGAGCAGTAGGTTTGCTTGAAGCACTAACATTCAAAGTGACATCAAAAAACACTCTCAAAAACTTGACAAATGCAACAATTTCTCCCAATCATCATCAGTTGGAGGCTCCACTTTCTTCCCTCTCACTCCTTTATCTTTCTTTCTTCTAATAATTTCAGTCTCTTGCCCTTGGTCCCCTATAGGTTCAGGTTCATTTCCAAATTCAATCCTATAACATCTTCTCCTTCTTCCTCATTTTCCTCATCATCCTCATCAAAATAACTTCTATACTTAGTGTCTTCTTCTTCAGCCAATCTATCAAATGCTTGTCTAAGTTCAATAGCAGTTTCAAGCATAATAAAAGTGGAATTCCACCTAGTTGGCACATCCAAAACACACACCTTTCTACTATGAAGTTCTTCCTTTTTTACACATCTTTAAAGGTTTCTAACCTTGCAGGTGAGCTTCTCACATATTTTACAGCATTTCTAATAGAAGCAATTGACTTATCCATGCATTTAAGGCCAGATTTGACAATAAGATTGACAACATGAGCTAAGCACCTCATATGAAGAAACTTTCCCCCTAGAATCAGTTGTCTTTCACCATTGCCTAGTTTCCTTCTCATGTAATCTATTGTCACTTTGTTTGCAGATGCATTATCAACAGAAATGGTCAAAATCTTCTTAATAGACCAATCCTGCAAACATTTTTCTAAAATCTTCCCTATAGTAATTCCTTGATGATTAGGAATCACACAGAAGTTCAACACCCTCTTATGCATATGCCAGTTGCTATCAATGAAGTGTGATGTAATTACCATGTAATTTATGTTTTGAATTGAGGTCCATGTATTAGTGGTCAAAGTAACACAATGATTCCTCAGCTCATCTTTCAAACTCTCTTTTTTGGTATTATACATGCTCAGGAAATGTTTCACCACCATTTTTCTACAGGGAATGTTCCATTTTGGCACAACAACTGAACAAAATCTTTTAAACCCTGATTTCTCAATTGCACTAAATGACAATTCATCTATAATTATCATTTCAACAGCTGCCTTAGTGCAGTTTTGTTGTGTGACAATTGATTCATTACCCTCTACATCTCTTGAAAAATGTTTCTGACTAGAATCAGTATTTCTTGCACTACCAGGATAACCATCACAATGCAGTTCTAAATGCTACTGAAGTGTGCTAGTTCCATTTCTAGTTGAATTACAAGCCAAGTCAGAATCACAGTACCTGCATTTAGCTCGGTTGGTTAATCCAACTTGGACAAGTACCCCATCCTCGTTTCTGCTCATCAGTGGCTTTTTCACTACTTCAAAATGCTTCCACACCCATAATTTCTTTCTTTTGGTCTCAGTTTGCTTGTCGCGTGCCCTTTTCTTCTTCGTCTTTGAATTTGGCCTCGAAATTTTATTTTGCCCTAATTTTTTACCCTCGTTTTCATCTCGATCTTTGTCTGATTTTTGAGAATCACTAGTTTTGTCAGAATAAGAGGCCATGCGAAGTAAGAAAAATCGAACAAGATTGAAGATTTTTTGGATGATTGAATGAAAATTGAGATTGGGAATTCAATTTAGGTTTTTTTTCTTGAAGGGTTGCAGAGGAGCAGAAATTCGAAGAGAGAGAGAGAGATTGATATAAGTTAATGAGAGAGAGATTATAAATTGAAATAAAAATATGATGTTCAGAAATAAAATGTTGGGCTTGGACATTTATTCATTTCAGGCTTTGGGTTGGGCATGGCAATGACATTAAGTGTAATAGTATAAGGAAATTTAAGATTGGGCTAGACCCACTATATATTATGAAATATAATAAATATATAAAATCGGTTTCTCGGTTAATTGTAAACAATTTAGTTTATAACCGAAAATCGGGAACCGGTTTCTAGACTATAGAACCGAACCGAAAAAATGTCAGATTTTTAGCAAAAAACCGAACCGAACCGGCTATTTTCGGTTTGGTCCGGCTCGGTTTTCCGGTTTCCAGTTTTAAAATCCCACCCCTAATAATAGGATTCTTCATATGGTCCGATCTTTAAGGGCGACGCGTGTATGGAATTAATGTGAACAGATTTAATTTTTTAAGTGTGAACAGATTAGATTAAAGATGGGATAAGATTTCTTCTATGTACGTTATCCCAATAAATCAGCCTATTATTTCTCTATTCATAATTGTCCATCAATTACTATTTTTTACGACACTTTTAATGAAATTGGCGGGTATTTGTAGATAAAATTGGCGCCAAATATCTAAAATGGTTATTCTTTTGAGGGTTAATTGCTAAATAAACCTTAACCTTTTTGAGTTTGGCAATTTTATCCCAAACTTTGGGTAATTGTAATATAATCTCGACCTCAATTTACTTATTGCAAATTTGAGTGCAGAGTGATTGATTTTAGGGTTTTCTGGATTGATTTTGTGTCCAAGTCTTCCATTAAACGGGCTTTTATGCCATCCACGTGGCAAGTTGACAATTTTCACGTAATTAATGTATATCCACGCACAAAGCCGAAAATTCCATGTCAATGTAAGCTACCGGTGATGAGTCTCCTCCTAGATCTGGAGTGAACCGATAAATATGAGCTCCGATTTGTTCGAACTGCCTTCAAATTGACCAGTTTTTTGAAGGTCCAACCGGTTTTAGGTTCGACTTGCATTAAGTAAATTGAGGTCGAGATTATATTGCAATTACCCAAAGATTGAGATAAAATTGTCAAACGCAAAAGCTTAAGGTTTATTTAGCAATTAGCCGTTCTTTTAATATAATTATAGATAATATGTATATATAGAGAGAGATGGAGAGAGTTAGGATCATATTAGAAAGAGGAAAGAAGAAATAAGAATGATTCTGATTCATTGGATCCATCAAACTAATGATCATTAGTTCCATCAAACTAATGGTCATGATAAAGTCAAAATTTAATAAGTCACAGTCAAACATGAGTTGTATAATCTCGTAAATAATTGTACATGGCATGGTCAAATATATATATTGGACCACTAAATGAGAGTAATTAAGACATTATATACACTACCTATGGACCCCACCACTAACACCGCTAACCTACCCTCTATCTCTCACACACACAAACACACACCTACATACACTCACCTTATATGACACTCACACACACACACACACACACACACACACATACATACACATCATGCGAGCGCGTGCACACACACAAACACACACAAATTGATTCGCCACCGGACGCCGAGATCATCCCCGCCACCCTTCAAGGTCGGTCACGATCTGTTGCGACTGAGACGCCGACAAGGGCTAAAAACAAACGCCAACCACAAACATCCCCGTCAACCATCGAGACCCTCCCTTCCCATTCGCCGAGACTATCCTCGCCGCTCGCCAAGGTCGGTCGCTATCTGGCGTAACTGAGATACCAACGGGGGCTGAAAACAGACGTTCGCCACAAACATCCCCGTCAGCCGCTGACCCTCCCTGTCCTTGGCGCCGAGACCATCCCCGCCGCCCGCCAAGGTCGGTCTCGATCTTTCACGACTAAGGAGCCAACAAGGGCTGAAAATAGACGCCTGCCAAGGTCACCCGAGCATTGGTGCCGTCGGGGGGTGAAAACAGATAGGTGTGTTGTGTTGGAGCCTTGGAGGAGGAGAAATAAGGAGGGCTATTTTTTGAAAACATGACATGATACAAGGACACAATTGTAATTTTTTAAAGTTCAATATATTACAATTTAACTCAAGGGTCAAGTCTATAATTATATAAAACATAATTAAAATTGTATTATATTACAATTTAACTCAAGGGACAAATCTGTAATCATATAAAACATACTTATAATTTTAATATTTCATTTACTATATGATATTTTTTATGTTTTTAAAGTATTTTGGCTAAATGTTAATAATTTTACATAAAAATAAAAATAATAATAATAATAATAATAACAATAATAATAATAATAATAATAATAATAATAATAATAATAATTGTAATATAGTTCGGTCCAGACCGACCAAGGCTGCCCAAATCTAGTCCACGGTCCAATTGCCAAAGACTTAGGACCAAGAACTAAGTCCCAAGTCCCAAGACCCAAGCCCGTGCCCGATCCAAGCCGACTGGCGGGCAGGCGAGGTGCGCATGCGCGCGCGTGTGTGGTTGATGCCAACACCAACACTTGGTGGATAACTTTATTGTTGTTGTGACCTCTCTAACATTGTTTATTATAATAGAGAGAGTTCATCTTATTTAAGAGTCCAATGTGAGAAGGACGTTTGACTCTTCAGATCACAACCATTGTTTTACATGCCCATGTATGGTGAACTTTAATCATTTATTTCTCACATACGGAAAACCAGTTTTGAGAAAATAAATATACCACAAGTATCTACTCAAAAGTATAATTTTCTACACATTTTAATTCAAACTGAATTAAATATTTAGAGATGAAAAATTCGGTCAAAACCAGGTGAAATCCAAGTCTTGTGATTAATATTTTTCAACAATCCACCACATGAGTAGAAACCAAATTTATGCAGGTATGCATACTCTTGTGCTCAATTCCAAATGACTTTATTGCATCAGCAATGTAGCTTGTGGCTTGAACCTTTATTAGTAAATATTATTGGATGTACTGGCGGCTTAGTGGACATAGTGTTGGATTCTATTAGGAACGTCGATATTGTGCACATTCAAATCTATTGAAAAATAAATCCTAACGTAGCAGAATCTATAGTTAGGATTAGGGCTTGCGGTTTAAAATTTTTGCCGATTCAGAGACATTTCTGATTACCGCTGTTTGAAATCGTCTGATCTGCAGAGTCCGTTGGGCAGTCGGACTTGGTCTCATCAATGCGTTCCATTTGTTTCTTGGGCTCGTCGAGTTGTTTTGGACCTTCGGTAGATGAT